ACACACACACACACACACACACACACACACACACACACACACACACATATCCTCTAACTCTGGAGAGGTGACCCAGGGCTGCCTGCCTCTAGATGACTCCTGTACCTGTACTTGGGCATTCACATTTCCTTCTTCCTTAGCATCTGCCTCATGGGAAAAGACACTTACAGAGATTGAAGAGTTTAATATATCTCCCTCTCCCTCTCACTTTACTGAGGCTCTGAGAGGGCGGAAGTTGAAGCTGCAGCTGCTGAGGCCTGTGGGGTGCCTCTGGAGGGGGGGCGAGGGGGATCATGGGGGGCATTGATTTCAATGGTGCCGCTCTCCAGTGGCGATGCCTTGCAGAACCCTGTGGAAGATGTGCTCATCTCCCTAAAACGGGGATGGAGGATGGCCCCTGCCCCGCCTGATTTTTGGTGCTTAGGTCTAATGAGGAGCCCACACTGGCCACATGGCTGCAAACTGGCCTCCTAGGTTCCAGGGGGAGGAGGAGGAAGTGGGGGTTTATTTTCTTTGACGGGGAACAAGGGCCCTCCTCATCTTAAGCCCCTCCCTCCCACAGACCCTCCCCTGGCTGGGTCGGATTCCTGGCCGTGGTACATGCATCTCCTCTGCCTTCTCCACTCTGCTGTAAGAGGTGCCCCTGGGGCATCCTTGTCCCCCTTCACCAGGCGGCCTTTCTGGGAACATTAACTTTCCTTATTTCACCAGAGTCAAGCAAGGACTCGGGGAGATCAGGTGGGCACTGGGCCGCACTGAAGATTTCTTCTGGGCTGTGCTGTGCAGAGCAATAACTCTAAATGGATGGTGGCTTAGATTTGCTGTGAGTTATTTAGCAAACAATAGATGTTTATGTATATAGTTTCTAGAACTTGTATTTATTAACAGCCTGAAAAGGAGGAGGATGGGAAGATTTATACAGAAGGAGTAGGGAGTTAAAAGGGACAATTAGAGGAGCAGAAAGAGATATTGAACAAGGAATTGCAGAGGATATTTTAACGCACAATCAAAGGTTCTTGAAGTATTCTCTGAGCAAACAGAAGGTAAAAGGGAAAATTGGCCCATTACGAACTGATGGGAGGGAATTGGTGACATGGGATAGAGTAATGGCTGATTGGTTAAACAGCTAGTTAGAGGCTGACTTTTCAAAGAGAAGGAAGATGGGGCTGGAGTTGGAGTTGGGGTTGGGGATGAGCCAGACGGGGAGGAGATAAACATAGGGAATGACTGGGCCCACTTCAGCCCAGAAGCCACGGTTAGGGAAGAGAGACAAATCTCCCTGGTTCCAAACCCTGCTGTACTCCTGGGGAGCGGGGAGAAGGGCAAGGGGAGCCCTGTTGTTTTCTTGCCGATGGTCCGAGATGAGGGCATAGACCACGCCCTTCTACCTGGTCGGGGTCAAAAGCCCCTTTCCAAATTAACGTCCCCTTCTTTTTCGTTTTCCTCAGTCTTTGTTCCTCATTAGACCCAAGCACCAAAAAGGAGGTCATCACTATCCTCCATCCTCATTTTAGGGAAATGGCCCATATTCTGAGGACTACCGCAAGGTTTTGTCTCACATCACCCCTGGAAAGCTGTGTGCCTCTGAAATCAATGGCCCCCCCACATGGATCCCCCTGCCCCTCTCTGGAGGCACCCCACAGACCGCTGCAGCTGCAGCTGTAGCTTACACCCTCTAAGAGTCTCAGTAAAGAGAGAAGGAGAGAAGGCTTTAAAGCAGGAATTCTTAGCCTTGTTTTTGTGTCATGGAACCCTTTGGTGGTCTGATGGGCCCCTTATGGGAATGATATAAATAAATATAAAATAAGATGTATGGGATTACAAAGGAAACCCATTGTATCAAAATACAGTTATCAAAAAAAATTTTCAAACAGGTTCATGCACCTATTTCGTAAGGTAGTCATTGTGAAGATCAACAATATATGTAGTGTTTTGCAAACCTTAAAGCACTATAGAAATGCTAGCTATGATTATTAGTGTCAGAGACAGGATTTGGACACAGGTCTTCCCGACTCCGGGTCCAGCACTCTATCCACTCTCCCACACTGCTTGTGCTATGGCCAGCCCCTGCTTGAACAAGCCTCTCCTAGACAATGTCTCCGAAACGTGGCTAATGAAATTTGTTTGGCACGTCCATACATATTTGCGATGGTTTTTGTTTTTCTTGCCTTCTCGGAGAATTAGAACCGGAAATAAAATTGAGTCAAAAAAACCCAAGTTGAGGGACCCCAGGTTTAAGAACTCCTACTTAGGAGGCTCTCTTGACAGTGACCTCAAAGTGTGGCTGATGGTGGGCTGAGAAGCGAGCCAGCCTAGCCTTCAGTGCCCTCCACCATTTGCCAAAACTACCTTCCCAACCAGATCTCCATTAGCTGCAGTGCGTTGACTCTTTCCTCCCAGCCAGGCGTATCTGATCCCTGTTCCCCACCCCCAGCACACGTGTTCCTCCCTCTGCACCTTTGCTTACATCTTTTCTCTCGCCTGGAACACAGCCTCACTTTCAGGGTCCAACTCAAGCCCCACCTCCTCCTCAAATCTTTCCTTGGCCACCCACCCCCAACTCCTGAATGCCTGGTTGGCACTTGTCAGCAGCCTTGTATTATCCATTTGTTCAGGTCTTAACTCCACCCCCCCCAGGCTGTGGGTCCCCCGAATCTTTGTACTCTTGACTCTCCCACGAGACGGTGCTGCCTTGCGCTCAGCTCGGTGGAAGACACTCAGTCATGTCACCACATCAGCCAAGCAGCATTAGGGTGCTTGGTTCCTCTGTGGTAAACTGCCCCAAGCAGAAGGGTAATCAAGGGGATTACTGGGAAGGGCTATCCCATTTTTGATGATCAGGAAGTCCCACACAAGCTGGAGGGAGGAGGGTTGGCAGATGGGCAGGGGCCTTTGATGGGTGGTCACATTGGGAAGAAACTGGTACAGATAGAAAGAGAAGCAAAATGAAGCAGAGAGAGAGTCGTTAGCAAATACGTCCTCTACTTTGAGAAGCAGCAGGTGTCTGGGAATGGGCCTCCGGCCCGGATTGATTTCTGGGGAACAGTCCCGATTTGTTGGCACAGATGGAAGGCTAGGCCTAAACAGAAGATGGAAATTTTGATAGTGAAATGCTGGCAAGTGCCAGGGTAGGGGGAGGGGTGTAGCATGTGTGCTACTGGGCCAGCGTATGGAACCATGGTGAGGGGAGTCCCACATCTCAGGGCAATCCACCCAAGTGGAGGCGGGCCATGGTAGGGAGCAGGCAGGCAGAGATAGGGGGCTGCCTAAGAGAGGGAGGGTCATGCAACTCCGAGTGGCCAATGGCGGCCAAGAACTTCCCCAGGGCCACCCAACTCCCTTTTGTACTGCTGAGAAAAGAGGGCTGTTAAGGGAAGGGGGAAGGAGAGAAAGGTTCAGATAACAGGAGAGAACTTCCAGGGTTAGGGTGGAACACCACAGCCAGGGTCTTTCACGATGGAGCACCCAAGAGAATAGGGGCAGTGTCGAGGGATGCCAGAGAACCCAGAAGCAAACCCAGACACCCCAAGCTTTAAGCTTGGGTGAAGAGCCGGAGGGGCAGCAGCCGGGAGGAAGGATCCCTGAGTCTGAGGGGCAAAGGGGTCCTCGCTTATCAACCAATTTGTCATCTTACTTTGGGTTTTTTGGCAACCGGGTCCTCTTACTGCTCAGAATATAAGCTGTTGACTGACAAGTGATGTAATACACAGAGGAGTTGACTTTATTTCCTCTACCTCTTAGAGGAAAAGCTACTAAAAATATAACTCAGGTTCTGGGCCCCACTGCCTCGCCTCTAATAACATTCGGCCACGAGAGTCTGCTGTGCCTGATGGGGCTGGGTCATTTATAAAACATTAGCCTCCCTTGTACTGACATTTCACTTTTCATATTACAGGACTTACCAGGTCTTTTAAAAAAATTAATAAAGTACTTATAGCCTTCATTTTCCCATTGAGAGCTTTGATGTACAAGGTTGGAAATGAAATAAGGAACGTAACAATATCCTCTGTTTGTAAGGCATGGCCAGGACTGTTGCATTGCCACCGGTTAGAACAGGGGGATCCCTGGGGGGTAATTAAAGACTGTAGATTATTGGTTCTGGCTTCTTTGGGTGTCCCTTTAGTGGAAGTCTCAAGTCCTATAGCCAGTATTTGACTATCCAGATCTGAGGCAAACTATTCCTTCCTTCCTTCCTTGCTCTTTGGGCACCATTTACTTTCTCTTAAGCCTGAAGAATTGGAAGCACCCATCCATGAAACTGGGCTCCCTTGTCCCACCATCATAGGTGAGAGGATCCCTCCCCTCCAGCTCCCCACACTAGGCTTTCCTATGGCAGAAGCATAGCTTTTCAAGCCTCCTAAAAGAGCCCCCTCTGCCCCAGGACGGACACTGTCCCCTTCCAGCCATGGGGACCCCGTAGGGCAGATAAGCCTCAGCAACAGTGCCAGCTGGTCCCAGGGCTTCTGGGACCAGGCCAAAACCAGCCTGTTCAGCAGAGGGACAGCAGAGGCAGTGCCGACCGAGCTCAGGCAGCGAGTGGGGAGTGAATCATGTTCTGTGCGAGGGAAAATCTGGAAAACAAGTGGTTTTTCTGTCTTTTTTTCCCCCCTCCTTCTCTTGCCGTCCCTATGAGTCAACGTGCCCTGCTCCACACATCTTGAATTCACCAGCAAACGTGCCATTTTCTCAGCGCTGTGCCCAGGCTCTGCAGGCCCCACACAAGCCCAGAGATCTGTCACTCCTTCAGGAATGTTGGGTTAGGAAATGAAAAACAGAGCTTCCTTGTCCAAGATAATTTTTTTTATTGTTTTTCTCTCCCTAATTGGATTCAGTGTTTCTTTCCTCTTACACCCTCTCCGTTGGGGAAATTTGTGTTTGCTGTTTGTGCAAAATGCAGAAAAAATATCAGCAACCCTCATGTTTGGGGGGGATGAGGTGGGGTTGTGCTAAGGTGGGGGGGTGCTTCCAGCCCGTGTTGGGATCAAGGCTAGAAATGGACCCTCATCCTACCCTCTATTCCCTTCCTTGTCTTAATTCCTATTACTTACGGCAGGTTTTTTCCATTTAGTATTTCTGGTCTTTAAATCTCCTTAGTCTGTTAATCAGGAGAAATAACTCTCAAGCAGGGTAAGAGTGAAGGCCCCTTCTTCTTGGGCTCTGTCCTGCAGGGACCCCTTGAGTCTAGGCCAGTATCTGAGGTCCCCATTACTGCTAATGCCTTCCCTCTGAGATTACTCCCCACTTAACACAGTATGTCTCTTGCATGTACATTATTTGCCTGTTATCCTCCCCATTAGAATGTAAGCTCCTTGCGGTCAGAGACTGGCTTTGCCTTTCTTTGTATCCCCAGCATTTAGCACAGTGATGCTTCATGGTGATGTGTCTGCCCTCCTGCCTAATCCCCTTCTCTACCAGGGTTTTCTCTCCCCAAGTCTTAAGGAAAGTCATCGGTCGGGTTTTACGACTGGGTACGAGCCTCTGTGCTCCTGTCCTCTTGCCCCCTTCATAGGTGACTTCTAGGCTAGCTACACTGTCCACACCTGTTGGACTAACACTGTTTAAAACGGCCTCACTTATCAACAAAACGACCCTCTTCCATTCCCCTTCCTCACTCTGTTCATTCCCCAGGGGCCTGGTTCATTAGGAAGCCCACAAGCTGTTAGGTTTTCTTTCCCCTCCTTGGGCACAGAAGCTGCTTCAGGAGGTGTGAGGGGGTGTTGGGGGGGAGGGGAGGTAGATGGGAATTCATTGCATATAAAAAGTGCCCTAAGCCACTAAGAACATTGGTCCCCTGAAGTGATTCTTGCCACCTTCCAGTTCCTCCACAGTCACCCCCTAACCTTGGATTGGGCCAGGGTCAGGTTTTGTAAATATGGCTACCAAGTTTTTCTAGACCAAAAAAAAAAAATTATAGAACCTTTTCCCCCACTAAAAATTGACCAATACAATCCTTAGTTTCAGCAGGTATCATTTCCTTATAGTTTATAAACATGATATAAGATGTACAGTTTGATAACTGAAGGGGGAAGGCCTGTGCATTTATATATATAGAAAGAGAGAGAGTATATATATATAAGTGAACAGTTAGGAAACCCCACCTTCTGCAAGGGCCTTGTTTCTCCCAGGGAAGTCTTAAATTCCAGCCTCTCACAACCTTTCCTTTGGTAGTTGGCCCCTCAGGAGCCCAGCAATTAAGTGCCAATAGGCCAGTGTTGCCTGAGACACAGGAATGGGAGAGGCCCGAACCCCACGAGGCCGAGGGGGTCCAAGGATTGTACATGTGAGGGCCATCCCCTGGGTGTACACGCTCAGGACTTCCGTGGTCATCCTCAATTCTCTCAGAGTTGTCTTGCTCCATCCCAGAAGGGTAGGGTCTTTGATACCCCCTTAAAATTAACAGGATTTTGTAGAGAACACAGCTCCTGTCTGTGTACTTGTTCATTTGTTGCTAATGAAGGATTAGCTTGTGTTTTTAAAAAAAATCTTTTTTTTTAAATCTCCTCACTTGGGTGGCAGTTTCAGTGGGTGCTCGGACAGGGCCATTTGTGACAGCTGGGTTGGTAATGCCTCTAATCCCCTTCCACTGCGGGTGCTGTACAGTTTTGGGCTTGATAATCCACCGGGCCATGGACGGAGACTGGCCAAAGCCTCCGCCATCCTTTCCCTGGAACTGGCAAATCCTCCATGTAGAAAAAAAGAAAAAAGAAATTCTGTTCCTTTATAGATAGGTGGCAGTGCCCTGCGCCAACTGCCCTCCCGAGCTATCAGCGGAGAGTAACCGCCAGCACCAGGATCCACGCCAGGAGGGAGGCCCTGAGAGCGTTGCCCCTGGAGGCCTGCTGTACCCCACTGGGCGAAAGGATGGGGGTCCTCCGGGCGCATTTGCCCTTCTTTTTGGGGCGTGCTGTGGGCATCATGTCAAAGTTGAACTTGTGGTGGTAGTCTGGCACATAGTCCTGGACCTCGTGGCCATTTTTCCGGGCCCCACCAGCCCCTGGTTTGGAAATCTGGTTCCGATTTCTGTAGTTGGTACAGTTCTTTCCGGGCTTCTTGGAGCCCAGGCGGGAGCCAGGCTGGTGGCCGTGGAAGCTGTGCTGGGACCCCTTGTCCTTGGGGCCGCCGTGGGGAGGGTGATGCTCCTTGCGAGCTGCCCGGTCGGTGGTGGTGAGGGTGTGGGACTTGAGCTGGTTCAGAGACTCAGCCCCTGTACAGTTCCTGAAGTCCTGGGCCTGGAGCAGCTTCAGATCCCGGCCCTGCAACGTCTCGGGAGAAGCACAGAGCACGCTAGAGCTGGACCCCCGGAACCTCCGCAGCCATTCCCACAGCGACCGGGCCCGGCAGCCGCAGTCCCAGGGGTTGCCGTTGAGCCGGAGAAACTCCAGGGCCCCCAGGTAGGTGAGACAGTCCCCCTGAAGTTCAGAGAGGCTGTTGTTGAAAAGGAAGAGGGTGGTGAGTCTCTGGAGGTCGTGGAAGGCCCGGTGCTGCACCAGCTGCAGCTGGTTCTCATGGAGGAGCAGGCGGTCCAGGTTGACCAGGCCCCGGAAGGTGTTCTGGGTGAGTTTCCAGAGTTTATTGCCATGAAGGAACAAGTGGCTGAGGTTCACCAGATCCACAAAAGTGTCGTCCTGGAGAAACTCGATGTGGTTGTCCTGCAGGTAGAGATACTGGAGGTTGTGGAGGCCGCCGAAGATGCCTGCAGGCAGGGAGCTGAGCCCGCACTTGTACAGGTAGAGTGCGTGGAGCTTGGCCAGGCCCTGGAAGGTCTCCGGGGCCAAGGTCCGCAGGTGGCGGTTGTCCCCTAGGTCCAGCTCCTCCAAGTGCACAAAGCCTTTGAAGGTGTCCGGGTCGATGGAGGTGATGTTGTTGGAGTAGATCCAGAGCGTGACCATGGAGGGGCTGAAGTGGCCCGGGAGGAGGAAGCCGATCTGGTTATTCTGCAGGAAGATGCGCTCGCTGTCCTCGGGGATGCCCTCGGGGATGGCGGCAAAGTTGTGCGCCTGGCAGCTGACAGTCATAGGCGCCGGGTAGCACACACAGTCCACAGGGCAGCAGATGCCCACCTGGAGCTCCAGACCACAAAGTACCAGGAACAGTTTCACATAGTGACCTGTGCAGAGAGAGGAGAGCTAGGTCAGGGGGCCCCGCAACGGGGCGGGGGGGGGGGGGGGGGGAGGGCCCAAGCATCCTCTCCTGAGAACCTTCACCTTTGCCTCCCACCCCAGCACTGGCTCACTTACTTAGCCTCCACCTGCCTACCTTCAGGTCAAGAGGCCCATCCTTCCCTTGCCTCCATACCCAGAGCCCCTAAATGGGGTGGAGAGAGAGGGGCGCGTTCAGACATTTGAGCTAGAAGGGAATTTGGAGGTCAGATAGGTTGGAGTAAGTGAGAGAGAAAGAAGATACGGGCTTCCAGAGGGTGGGCGTGGGCCAGCTGCGCCCACCCCAAGGTGGAATGGGTAAGTCTCCACCAGGCCCAAGGCTCCGTGTCTTAAGGGTACAGCTCTCTAGCCTGTGGTCTTGTCGTGGGAGTCACAGAGATGTGGAACCTCAGAGGTATAAGGAAACCTAGTAATCATGGAATCCAACCAGTCCCCACCATCTCCCTTAGCTACTGGGGGCTAAAGGTCCTCTACCCCCACTGCCCACCCAGGGCCTCTCCATGGAGGTCCCTTTGTAATCAGGGAGAAGCAGGCCACACAAAGTCTCAGCCCCACCAACACTAGGGTGGCATTGGAGGAGAGCAGGGGCCCTCGTGATAAATAGGCCAAGGCCCCTCAGAGCTGAAGCTGCTGGTCCAGATGACTCCCAAGTCTGGCAGGAGTTCCTCTTCCTCCACACTGACTCTCAGTCCGCTGGCCAGGCTGGAGGGCTCACCCTTAGCCCCACATATCTCAGGGGAAGAATATCAAAGGGCCAGAAAATATCATGGGGGAACTTTCCTGGAACACTAGCCCCAGCTTACCAATGAAAGTGCAGGGGAGCTTCCTGGTAGCAAGGATGGATGGTGGCTGGCCCTCAGAAACTGCTGCTGTCTCTCTGCTTTCCTGACTCCCCCACCTCCCCCTGGTCCACTTTCCCCTCCTCATCCCAGCCTTTGTTTTCCCTTCTTACACTCACCCCACGCTCCCTGACCTTAGCAATCCCCACCCCCAGCTCCATTTCCCCTGAGGCTCAGCCTCCTTGCCGGCCGTGGCTGTGGTGAGTTCTTGCCCCTGTCCAGAGCACTTCCTCTGTAGTTCTTTCTCTAATTGGGCATTAATTAGGCATTCGTTAATGGATACTTAAAATAATTTATTTTCGGATGTGTCCAGCCTGTGGTCTGATAATAGCCCTACGCTCATTATTAGACCGGCCTCATTACAAATGTTCATCATTACCTGCTACTTTCCAGGGTGGATCAGCTGTTATTGTAAGTGGAGATCTCCTCCCATTGCATTATTAATGAAAGAGGGCGCTTTCTCTCCACAGAATTTCCTTGTTAGGCAGCTTTAGGGGAAAGGGGTGGATTTCAGGACCTTTGTCTCACTCTCTTCCACTCCCACCCCAGCACAAATAATAATAACTACAGCTCACGCTTAGACAGCTGGTCAGAGGTTACAAAAGCCTTTCTGTCAGCAGCCTGGGGAGCCAGCCAGGATAGAGTGTATCCATCTCGATTTCATAGATGAGAAACTGATGAGAAACCCCCCGGGTTTATTTAGTCCTTGGAGCCAGGCTGTCAGGACCTAACTCTTCCCTGCCTGATTCCGGTGTGTAGCTCTTTATTTACCGCTCATCTTGACTTACCATAAGACAAATACCATGATTGGAATTTTGGTCTAGACCCGGTGTAGATGAAATTCCAGTATGGAAACCCCCTCCACCAATGCAGACTGGCATCTGTCGAGCCATCTGTAACTTCATAATCCTATACAGTTGCCTGGCACACTAAGAGGGTCTTTAGACTGTCCCTGGGCACCTGTGCCAGGCCCTGCATTCCAAATGAACTGGCCATTCTCTCTCCAAGACATGCCATCTCTTCCCTGGAACTGCCCAAATGCCTGGAATGCACTCCCTCCCTCCCCACCTCCACTTCTGGGCCTCCTTCAAGGCTCAACTCAAATTCTGCCTCCTAAAGGGTGCAGATTCCCCATCCTTCGTGCTAATTAGGGTTCTCCCACTGAAACTGCTTTATTTATGTCTGCTTTGTGTCTATTTTGTATCTCTGGGGTGAAGAGGTGCCCTTGGAACCAGGCAGAACTTTGTTCAAGTCCAAGGTTAGACACATACTGACCTTGAAATCCGGGCCTCTCTTAGTCCTCAGAGTAGGTGCTGTCCTGCATTGGTGAAGAGAGTTTCCTCACCTGGGAGGTCTCTCCTCCGGCAAACAGGTCTATGCCTATATGCGTATGTGCTAGTTCCCCCGGGGCTCTAGTTTTTGTCTGTCTCTCCAGTGCCTCCCACGCTTCTGGCAATTCTTTGGTGCCTAATAAATGTTGAATGAATGAATGAATGAATGACTAACTGCCTTGAGCACAGGTCTTCCCAACTCCAAATCTAGTTCTCTGTACCTACCCCACACTGCCTCCCTCCAAGTTTTATGACATTTTAAAAATGTGCATTTATAGAAGGGGATGGAAAGGAACTTCACAGAAATAGGGAACTCCCACTGCCAGTACGAGTCAGCACCTTCTCTGAGGCAAGGTAAGCATGGTCAGGGTAACACAGCCAGTTCAGATCAGAATCAGGACCAGAACACAGGTCTCCCTAGTTGGGGGGAAAGTCGCCATTAAGGTGGGTCTCTGCTTGTCTTCCCTCCTTCTCTAGGGGGTTCACTCAGGAAGGCTGCCTCTTTGCTTACCCCTGGTGCTTGATGATACTATCTATAGCTTAAATTGGGGGGAGGGGGGAAGGAGAGACTCTCAAAAAGCCTTCGGGTCCCTCTCCCCCATCCCCCCATGCCCAAGGCACAGAGCTAGGGAGCTGAGTACCTAAGATATGCTGGGGAGCCCCCACAGAAGGTTCTCCCGGGTGTCCCTCCTGCTTCTGAAAATCACCCTCCCACTCTCCTTGGGTGGAAGGTGTTGAGCAAGTGAGGGTGAGGAGTGGCATTCTCCACCCCTACCCCTTCCCTTCCCTTCCTGGGCTCACTGGGGCTCCCATAAAGCGCAATGACCTCCCTAGGGAGGTCCAAACCCCCAAAGCCTGGAAGGTGTATGTGAGCAGGGGTGGGGGACAGGGTCAAGCCTTGTTGCTCTCTCCCCTCCCTTCTTACTTCCATCTTTTTCTCCTTCTCTCCCTCCTTTCTTCCTGCCCCCCCTCCATCCTTCCATCCTTCTCTC